AGGATTTCACTGTATGCTCATGGGTGCCAGGAAGTTTTCGAAATGCTCCTAGGGCAACAGAGATAAAAGCAGGGAAAGGGCAAATGCTCAGTTTTTGGAAATATAAATTCTGGTACTATTGGACTCCGGCACTATTTGGAAAGTATGGACTCTTGGGCATGCAGTCCGCCCTAAGGGTAGGTTCTGTTATAAGAATTTTAAGGTCTTGGATATGTAATAAATGTTCATAAATGTACCAAGCAAACACGTACATAAATATATAAACAACATGTCTGGAGCAGCACAGGAAGACCGCCCCGAAACCATTTTGACTCCCAAACTGACCAAATGTTTTCTCTGCAAGGAGGGAGGGGTGAGGGAACTTTCCCATTGTCTCAGGAATTGGGTAATCACCATCTCAAAGGAATGGCCAGACTACCAGGAAAGGCAATCAGATAAGGCATTATCAGATAACCTGGCAGACAGGAAAAACAACAACATTCAAATTTCTGTTGTAGACCGCCTTTTCTGTGATTTAGGTATGATGTTTGTGGGGGGTGGTCTTGGGTTACACCCCTTCTGTGATGTATGTATGATGTATGGAGGGGTGGTCTTGGGCTCCAGGGCAGGGAATTTAAAATGTCTATATAAGGACAGGCACAACTGGGTTCTGGGTCTCCTCTTCCCTTCTGCATGTGGGGGAGCACACTGTTGCAACAGCTTACTAGCTGCTTTGCTTCTCAATATTCTCTGGTTGGCCTCTGTTATTTTCTCCTACCAATAGGGAAGCCACGTAAGGACTCTATATGGGCTCTTGGATACCCCATAAGGGAAAAAGGGCAGATTTTGTTTACAACAGTTCCAATTGTCAGCCCTGACTGGTAGAACTGGGAAGGGACAGCAGCAGTGCAGAGACAAAGGCAGCCTTAACTTCTGTGGTTGTAAGGAGCATCACACAGGGGCTGCAAGAGGCAGCAGAGTATAGACCTCAAATCTGTTCATGGGAGAGATTTTTTTTTAAAAAAAAAGGAGGGGAAGAGTGCCTCTGAAAATCTTTGGAAAGCACTGCCCTCTCTAATACGGCTAGAGAAGGTATCGCTTCCAGACCGGGTTGATTCTTGGAGGCTTTTAAAAAGTTAACATTTTAAAAAGTTAATTAAAACTACTTAAACAAATTGGTCCAATTTTGGTCATCCTAGCTACTGAGAAACAAGTCCTGCTGATTTCTATGTCATCTCCTCCCAGGTAAGAGTGCATAGGATTATTAAAATTATTATTTTTGTTGTCTGCCCTTCACCAGCAGGTTCCAGGGCAGCTTTCAAGAATTAAAAATGGAAAACAATTAAAGCAGGGTGGGCTCTGAAAACACATAGTCGGGTGTCAAGGCCAGGGTTGAGAGGTGCATCTCAGCATTTTCCGAAAGGGGCATAATGAAGATGCCAGCAGCCAGAATCACCTCCATGGGGAGGGAATTCCCCAGCTTAGGGACTGTCAAAGGGAATGGCTTCACCTGGCCTGCTGCTATGCAAACTGCTGAGGGAGCTGCGACAGCCAAGAGACTTCCTAACACTTCCTAACAGGACAAGACAAGAAGTGTCTCTGACAGCAGCCTAATCTGACCTGCCCTGTCATTGTTAGCAGCAGAATAAAGCACCCTTCTTACATCTGCAGCTTGGACCACTTCCAGACTTTAAGGAACAGGAGGATCGGGAAAGAGAAAGGGGGCTGAACTAGAAGGGGCCTGTGTAGTTTTGGCTCAGCTGGAGTCTGCTTCTGGGTCATAGCTGTCAACTTACAGATTTGAAAATAAGGGACCAGCAGCCTCGGAAATAAGGGATCAGCAGCCAAAATAAGGGATCAACAATTACTTTTATAAAATATCTATTTTGTTGCGTGCAAATGGCTTTAGATACCTATTAGGTCCATAAATTACCATATAGCATATATTCAACACAAAAAAACAGCAACAATTTGTTGTTGACAAAGGGCAGCTGGACATAGAAAGGGCCCCATTACCTTCAGTAGCTTATTTAAGGGACATCATCAATAAGGGACAGCAGCGGGACATGGCGCTGGGATAAGGGACTGTCCCGCCAAATAAGGGACACTTGACAGCTATGTTCTGGGTTCCCACATTCCCCAAGCCTGGCCAAGGCCCATCTGAGAAATAATAGCCTGTGAGGTCACTCTGAGGAAGAAGATTGGATGACAGATGCTAAATACCGGTATGTGTCTGATATCTGCCTCACACCTTTTTGCAGGCCTTTACAAAAGGGGGTATTTATGACCTTTCACATATGATAGCCATATGTCAAATGGGGCAGCCCAAGCCCCTCTGCTTTTATTACTTTTTTTAAAAAAGCCTTCATGCTGTAGCCATCCAACAGCAAGAAAGGATGGTTGCCCATAGGGGCTGTCAAGTCAGAATTCCCCGTGGAATGACAGTAAGATCATAAGAAGGTCTTTAGGGAAGGAGGAGCTTTCAGATATTTGGTGTCTGCATCATTCGGAGCTTTAAACACTGATTCAAGCACCTTAAATCAGGTCCGGAAACCAACCGGCATTGTCACACCTGCCTTTGCAGCGCTGAAAATAAGGTTTCAAAATTGGCTGAACGGCGTGGAATCCGGTCTCTAATTCTACCCCTTCCCCCTCCTTTGTGAGTCCTCTGATTAACCCTTGAAAATGTTTAAAGATCTCGCTGCATGATGAACTCTGTGCACCGACAGGAGAAGACACACAATTCTCAAATGGGGGAAGTTACTGGCAAAGCTCTGTTTGGCACAGGCAGCTGCATTTCATCATTTACGTGGAACTGGGTGCATTTAAGAAGATGCAGTGGCGAGCAAGTTTTCTTTCCTCTAGTTTGTGAGCATAAATGAATGGGTTTTTTTGGGGGGGGGGGCGGTTTCAGAAGGAAAAAAAGTGTCTTTAAAAAGCTGCAGGAAGGAGTTTGCTTGCTTGCTTGGCTTGCTTGTTTGGCTCATGAGGGCTAGGGCTGGCACTTCACTAAGTTGAGCAGGAAGCCCGGTTCTTCTCCCGTCTTTTTTTAAAAAGTGTCGGCCGTGTACCGTACTGTGATAAGACAAGGGAAATAGGCGAGGGGGATTAAAAGGGGGGAAAGGGGTGCGCGAGGATTCGACTGCCATGCCATCGGCTCGGGGAGGCACCTCCAACTCCCAAGAGACCTGTTGGACGCGCCTGCAGGGCTCCGGGGCGGGGCTGGTGCGAGTCGTGCCGACGACTCCCCAACTAGCTGCCATTCTCCCCCGAAGGCGCGCTCCTCCCTTATCGCCCGAGGCAGACGGATGCTCACCGAGGCCCTGCCGCGATGTAAGCAGGCCCTTGTGGGGATGGGGGTCTTCTTCCTGCGAGTGGGGGTGGCTGGGAGGCATCATACGCAGGGGTGTAGGAAGGGGGGGGCGCCCCACCTGGTGTCATTCCTGAGGCTGGGGGGAGGGGGGGGGGTTGCGCCCATGGCCGCCGCTCCGGGCGCCCATGCAGCTAACTGCGCCACTATACATACATTTTCTACTTCTTGTTTAGCAGTTGTAAAGCACTGTGCCTTACAGTGTTACGGAATTCAGACTCTAAATATACATAGCAAACTGGGCTTCTTCGCGCCCCCCCCCCCCCTTTAGCAGCCCCGTTCCCAGCCACGCCAGGTCTGAAGTTAAGCTCGCACTTTGCCTCTGATAGCGTAGGAGCCAAATTATAGGGGCGGACCCCCCCCCCCCCATTTGAGAAGGGGCCGGGACCCCACAAAGCCCATAGGAAATGGTGGGCGTGCACCACATCTTGTCATTGATTCTGGGGCGGGCTTGGCTGTCGCCTTCCGCGCAAAAGTAGTTTATTCAAGTTGGCACCGCTGTTGGATAGTGCTTGCTGTCGCGCCCCTCTTCGGTTCGTTTTTCATTGAAGGTGTGCGCACAGACACGGGGACAGCAATGCGCCCGGGCGAGAAAGGGCTAATGCAGGAGGGAGGGCGAGTGGGAAAGACGCAGCCTAGATAACATCCCAGATTCGTAGGCTTGGTTTCGCGCCCAACACGTGTAAAGCTCTTCCTTTCCTCCAAACTTACCATCCCATCCTTAAATAGGCGCTGCTCCTTCTCTGACAGCGGTCACTGTGAATAACAGAAGTTATAGCCAAACAGTTTTATTTTATTGCACCTGCTTCGCTAGCAGGCACTTTGATGGGAGTGTGCGATTTGTAAACTAAGAGTTTATGTACACCGGATTATACTGTTAATTGGAGGCTATTTGAGTCCAGATTTTCAGGGCATCCTCCTGATGAGGTTGATTTATAGCTGAGGGCACCTCACTTTTTCTTTTAGAGCCTCCCACTCTCCCTGCTCTTATGGCTTCTATGTGGTTCTCCTTTCGCTTTGCCCAGCCGGCAGCCGAATCGTGTGCCCCGCTTTCCCTGGCCTATCTGTTCCTTTCCTGAGTGCAGCCACCCTCAGAAAGCAAGCTTTAATCACAATAATAATTTTATTATTTATACTCTGCCCATCTGGCTGGTCCACGCTGGAGTGCTTGCTAGATCCCGACTTCCTCTTCCTCCCTTGCTCACGCGAGCAGATTCCTTTGAACCAGCCTTCCTCTTGGTGCAGAGGGAACCAAGCGGGAGGCCTTTGCTTTTGGCAGAGGATGGGTTGGCCTGTTGCCCCCTCCCTCTTTTGCTTTTTGATGGAGGTGGCAAGTTTTCCTGCATGGAATTGGGGGCTGAGGATCTGGTTTTTCTCCACCTGGGCAGCCCATTCCCTTGCACAGGTGTGATTTCTGTTTGGACAGGGGTGAGTGGGGGGATTCATAGAAATCATGTTGGGAGGGACCCTGAGGGTCATCTAGTCCAACCCCCTGCAATGCAGGAATTCTGCCCACAGCTGTCCCTGGGTGGGTTCAAACCACCAACCTTCTGGTTAACTGATAGACACACTGACCCATTGCGCCACAGAAGATTGGGCAGAGGGGCAGAGAGCAAATCAGGCCGGACCTCTGACTGCTCACAAGAAGCGGCAGCGGATTGGGACTCTTAAGACTTTCAGGACCAACACTGGATGGGACTCTTTGGTCATTGAAAGCTTGGGCTGCACTTTTTATTTCGGTCCTGGAGGTGTTGCTGAATATGATTAGAAGGGACCAGATGGTTAAAGGTATACAGGTCGGAACTAAACACTATAAATTGAGAGCATTTGCAGATGACTTAGTATTGACGTTACAGGAGCCAGAATCTAGTACAAAAAGGGTTTTAGAACTGATTCAAGAATTTGGTCAAGTGGCAGGATTTAAATTGAACAAGTCAAAAACCAAGGTTCTAGAGAAAAATTTAACACCGTTTGAAAGAGAGAGTTTCAGAATGAGACAGGTTTAACAGTGGTTAAGAAAGTTAAATACCTGGGGATTAACATGACAGCAAAAAATGGGAATTTATTTAAAGATAACTATGAAAAATGTTGGTCAGAAGTGAAAAAAGATTTAGAAATTTGGTCAAATTTGAAGCTTTCACTGCTAGGCCGTATCGCTGCGATAAAGATGAATGTATTGCCTAGAATGTTGTTTTTGTTTCAAACTTTGCAGATCGTGGACAAAATGGATTGTTTCAAGAGGTGGCAGAAAGATATTTCTAAATTTGTCTGGCAGGGCAAGAAGCCCAGAATAAAATTTAAAAATACTAACGGATGCAAAGGAAAGAGGTGGATTTGCCCTGCCAGACCTTAAACTGTACTATGAATCAGCAGCCTTTTGCTGGTTGAAAGAATGGCTACTTCTTGAAAACACTGACATTTTGGATCTAGAAGGTTTTAATAATGTATTTGGATGGCATGCATATTTATGGTATGATAAGGTCAAAGCACATAAAGCATTTAAAAACCACATTGTCAGGAAAGCGCTGTTTAATGTTTGGATAAGATATAAGGATTTGCTAGAAAATAAAACCCCAAGGTGGCTGTCACCAATGGAAGCGAAAGCCTTGAAAAAGGTCAATATGGAGGTCAAATGGCCGAAATATTGGGAAATTTTGGAACAAGACGGAGATAGACTGAAATTGCAGAGTTTTGAAAAACTAAAAACAAAGTGCGAGACTGGCTTCATTATTATCAAATAATGGAGGTATTTAAATTGGACAGGAAAATTGGCTTCCAGGTGGAAAGATCCAAATTAGAAACAGAATTGTTAGAACCCAATACTAAGAACTTGTCAAGAATGTATAACTTGCTGCTGAAATGGAATACTCAAGATGAAACGGTAAAATCGGCTATGATTAAATGGGCACAGGACGTTGGCCATAACATTATGTTTGCTGACTGGGAACAGTTATGGACCACAGGTATGAAATTTACGGCATGTAATGCCTTAAGAGAGAATATTATGAAAATGATATACAGGTGGTACATAACCCCAGTCAAGCTTGCGAAAATCTATCACTTGCCCGATAACAAATGTTGGAAATGTAAAGAAACTGAAGGTACATTTTTTCACCTTTGGTGGACGTGCCCAAAGATTAAGGCTTTCTGGGAAATGATATATAATGAATTAAAAAGGTATTTAAGTATACCTTCCCTAAGAAACCAGAGGCCTTTCTCCTGGGCATAGTAGGCCAAATGGTGTTAAAAAGGATAGAACTTTCTTTATGTATGCAACAACAGCAGCAAGAATACTTATCGCAAAGTATTGGAAGACACAAGAACTTCCCACGCTGGAGGAATGGCAGATGAAACTTATGGACTATATGGAATTGGCGGAAATGACTGGTAGAATCCGTGACCAGGGAGAAGAGTCGATGGAGGAAGACTGGAAGAAATTCAAAGACTATCTTCAGAAACACTGCAAAATTAAGGAATGTTAGAGTGATGTTGGACTGAAAACAAGTGGTTTCCAGCTGTACAGGTTAAAGTTAAGGATAGATTAAGATTAAAGATCAAGATTAAAGATGTTTAAAGAAATGGAAATTTGATAATAAAAGGGAAAAATTTAAAGTTGTATGACATTAAGATCAAGGATTAGGTTTAAAAAAGTTGAAGTTATATATCTTAACGTTTTATTAAATTAAAGATTGGGATTAAAAAAGTGGAAAAGAAACTGCTGGACAAACAATGTAGATTGGAATACAAAAGAGGGAGGTATGAGGAAGTCCAGAAAATAAGTAATTTAAAATTGGAAATGGAAAAGAGAGTTTGTTTTTAATTGCTATGTTTTGTGTTTTTATTGTTAAGTTTTGTATTGTTTTTTTGTGTGTTTGTTTTTCTTTTTTTGTTTGTTTAAAATTTTAATAAAAAATTATTGGAAAAAAAAAAAGAAAGCTTGGGCTGCACTGGGATCTTGACACATCACTTTTCCTCTTTCTCCTAGTTCCTTCTCTTCTGATGGAAGCATCTGCCTTGGACTGACCGAAATCTGTCAAAGGTCTGTCTTCTGGTGAGTAAATGTTTACTGTTCATACTCCATTCCCATAGTAGTGAGTGCATCTATTTTTATTAGATTGAGGAAGATACTTTGTTGCTGGAATTATAACAGCTCAAGAATATAGACTTCTCCCTCCCCCTCCCCTCCCGTAAATTCAGGATGTGGAACAGATTAAGATTTGTGTATCATGGAACCTGCGACAAAAAAAGTTGCAACGTGTTCACATATTTTTTTTACAATTCCAGCTTAAAGTCCTGCCAGACATGTCCTCCTCCACCAGACCATTCCATGTATATCTCTTTCCTGGTCCACCCCCCGGGATGGGGAACCTCAGTTCTGGGGGCCAAATGCAACCATCTGGGCCTCTCTATTTGGCCCTCTATTTGGCCTCTCTATTTGGCCCTCTATTTGGCCCTCTATTTGGCCATGATGGTAGAAAGTGAGGAGGAATTAAAGAACCTTTTAATGAGAGTGAAAGAGGAAAGCGCAAAATATGGTCTGAAGCTCAACATCAAAAAAACGAAGATCATGGCCACTGGGCCCATCACCTCCTGGCAAATAGAAGGGGAAGAAATGAAGGCAGTGAGAGATTTTACTTTCTTGGGCTGCATGATCACTGCAGATGGTGACAGCAGTCACGAAATTAAAAGATGCCTGCTCCTTGGGAGAAAGGCGATGGCAAACCTAGACAGCATCTTAAAAAGCAGAGACATCACCTTGCCAACAAAGGTCCATATAGTTAAAGCCATGGTTTTCCCAGTAGTGATGTATGGAAGTGAGAGCTGGACCATAAAGAAGGCTGATCACAGAAGAATTGATGCTTTTGAATTATGGTGCTGGAGGAGACTCTTGAGAGTCCCATGGACTGCAAGAAGATCAAACCTCTCCATTCTGAAGGAAATCAGCCCTGAGTGCTCACTGGAAGGACAGATCGTGAAGCTGAGGCTCCAATACTTTGGCCACCTCATGAGAAGAGAAGACTCCCTGGAAAAGACCCTGATGCTGGGAAAGATGGAGGGCACAAGGAGAAGGGGACGACAGAGGACAAGATGGTTGGACAGTGTTCTCGAAGCTACCAGCATGAGTTTGACCAAACTGTGGTAGGCAGTGGAAGACAGGAGTGCCTGGCGTTCTCTGGTCCATGGGGTCACGAAGAGTCGGACGCGACTAAACGACAACAACAACAACAACATTTGGCCCTCTGGACTCTCCTCAAATATCTCCTCCCCTCCCCCCCCTGCTCCGCACGTGTTTTTGCCTGACTGGGATGTGGTTTTGAAATCCAAATGCTTCTTGTTTGCATGCGCCATTGGCCCATCTAGTCCAGCATCACGTTCTCACTTTGACCACTTTTTTTGCAAAACCACAGCAGCAACAACAAGAAAAGAGTTTTGAGCCATTATTAATGAGCCATCAACAAAATATACACCACCGACATGAGCTGCTATACATCTGGATTTTCCTGGACATTTCAGCGATTTCTGCCCGGACACTGCTTAAGGGGGCTGAATACCAAAATTCTTATTCGGAAACACTGCTGCCCCCAAGTGGGCAAGTGGCTAATAGCCATTCATAGCCCTCTTCTGCATGAATTTATCCAGTCCTCTTTTAAAGCCATTCACGGTAGCAGTCACTGTCTCCTAGGGGATCAAGTGCCACACAGTGGAACCTCGGCTGCGAACATGATCCGTGCAGGAGGCACATTCGCAACCCGCAGCGTTTGTAACCTACAGCGCGCAGACTCGATTCTGCACATGCGTTTGACGTCATTTTGTGTTTCTGTGCATGTGCAAGCGCTGAAACCCAGAAGTAACCCGTTCCGGTACTTCCGGGTTCGGCGCGGTGCACAACCCGAAAACACACAACCTGCAGCACTCACAATGCAAGGTATGACTGTAGTTTGATTATGTCCCCTGTACAGTAGTACTTTCTTTTATCTTAAATATTCCAACATTCAGCTTCGTTGGATATCCCCCAATTCTAGTGTCCTAACGAGAGTGGGAGAAAAGCTTTTCTCTTTCCACTTTTTTCGTGCCATGCATAATTTTTATAAACTACTATAGATGTACCGCTTATGTACAAAGGTAAAAGTTAGTTTCTTCTCTGCTGACCTTTACTTCTAGCTCTGTGGAATGCGACACTCTCTACCAAGTAGCTGAGAAGGAAATTTGAGGGTAAAGGATTCCCCACGGCTACTGAACATGCTTGGACCTCAATGGGGTTTTTTTGGGTTTTTTTAGGGTTGTCAACTTAAATATTTGTACTTCTGCAAACCTCAGTATTTGATACTTCCCTCTTGTTTCTCATAAAGTGTGGGAGTCATAAAGCCACGGTAAAGGCTTGTAATATTGCAGGGTGCCCCCTGACCTCGGCTGACCAGCACTCTGAGCTTTACAATGTATTGGAATGTATTGGAGTTGTGTTTCCTCTGGGCAGTGATGACCCTATATGGTGATGGGGGCAATAAAAGCCTTGACCGGATGAGGTAACGTGAGACATTGGCAAACGGCCATGCGGCTGGAGAGAGACAAAGGATAATAAAAAAGCTGCAGGAGGAGAGGGAAGTTCGAAAGGAGCTGCTCCTACCATCATGAAAATATTGCTGGCTCTCTGTGTCTTTATTTTATGCTAAACTGCGCCATTTGTAACGGCTGGCTCCGACAAGTGGTGTCCCATGTGAGGCTGAATAAAAGAATACGTCTGAGGATTTTAAAAGAAAACCGTGTGAGGCAACTTAAAGAAAACAGTCTGAGGCAGACTAAGAGGATTTTAAAAGGAAACCGTGTGAGGTTTTTCGATCCAAGCAACGGATATCATCGGCTCACCACGCCCGGCAAGGGCTTCAAGCGCTAATCATCTTGAAAAGATCCCGGTGAGTTTCGATCCCTTTTTTTTATATTGATTTTAGAAAAATGGGCAGCTCTTTGTCTGCTCCCCAACAGAAATTTTTAAAAGACTTAAAATTTCTCCTCTCCTCCAACAAATTGGAAGTTCCGGAGGGTGATTTGATACAGCTCATTCTGGCCATCGAAGAGCATTCCCCCGGTTTCCTGCAGATGGGACTTGGGAATTAAAACTTTGGGACAAGATTGGGGCACATTTTCATGGGCACCCCAGCATAGGTGTTCGGATTCTAAATGCATGGTGCAAGGTTCGTTACGCCATGGGCTCTTTATCACCAAAAATATATCCATGGCTGCATTGCCAACACAACCTTCAGCTTCTTTAATTCAGCCTGCTGTGCTAGCCATCTGTTCCAATACTTGCTTTGCCAGCAGCTCCAGACCCCAAACCTCCGGACTACAGTTCCTCACCTGAGGACCCAATCCTGCAAAAATACCGTGGTCTGGCTGGCAATGATCCTGCTCTTTCAGCGGCAGAACCAGAACCAGAACCTTTTCAACGTGCAGTCCTTGCCTGTTCCTTAATTCAGGATACTATGGCATTCCCTGTTATTGTGCCCCCTGCTGGTGCCCCGGCAGGCACCCAAGCCCAACACCAACCTTTTGACTTTAAGATCTTGAGAGAGCTGCAACAGTCAGTAAAGGCCAATGGACTCCAAGCCCCATATACGCAGGCGCTTTTAGAAGCCACATTAGCCCAGCTCTTGGTTCCAGAGGACATCAAGCTTTTGGCCCATACAGTGTTACCCCCATCAGCTGGTGTTTTGTTTGCCCACGAATGGGAAACTGCCTGCCGTGCTTATGCTCCAGCCTTGTTACAACAAGTCAGAGGAAATAATCCAAATGTTACCCTCGCAGACGTCTTAGATGCCATGTTGGGGCGTGGTCCCTTCGCTCAAGCTTCAGTGCAAGCCACACTGCTGCAAATCTTATTGAGGGACACTGCTCTTGCTGCTAAACAAGCAATGAGAAAAATCCCAGAACCCACCAGTATTCAGTCAAGGTGGGGTTCAATCAGGCAAGAGGCAAGAGAATCATATTCTTCCTTTATGGATAGGCTGCTTACAGCAGTGAGTCGCCAAATTGAAAATCCTGAAGCCAAACAAATAATTATCAAACAATTGGCCTTTGAAAATGCCAATGAGGATTGTAAGGTTGCGTTACGACCGATAATACACAATCCTGCCACAGACACAGCAGCCATGCTTCGCATTTGTCAGTCTGTCGGAACAGCCAGCCACAAGGCTTATCTGCTGGCAGCAGCGCTAAATGAAAACCAGCCTGTAGCCACCGATACAACTTGTTTCCAGTGTGGCAAACCAGGATCACCGATACCCCAGTGGGGGTAGAACAGTGGCCTCTACCAAAAGAAAAATCCGCAGCAGCGGCACCAGCTATCTCTGACCAGCTTATTTCTGAACAATTGACTTTCGGCCACATTGAACCATCTTCATCCCACTGGCTCCAGCAGACAGGGAACGGTTTGCTTTTACATTGCCAGTATATAACAATTCGCAGCCCACCCAGCGATATCAGTGGGTTGTCCTGCCTCAAGGCATGCGGAACTCCCCTACACTTTGTCAACATTTTGTGGGTGAAGCATTGAAACCTTTCCGCATGCGCCACCTAGAGGTGCTGCACACGAGCTGCATCTGGCAGTGTTTGCCTTCCTAACCATTTGCCTTGCCATCCTTTGCTGCACCGTTATACAAGGAAGAGAAGCAGACGACCCAGTCCAGTTGAAACCACCATATTTCACCTCATCGGCTGGCAAGCAGCTGTCGCCAGAATCCTACTCTGGCTGGCAGTATCCACGGCTCAGCCACTTTCGAACTAGAAGAACAGCGTTGTTGAATAAGACTTTTAGGGGAGAAAATTATCATAAGATATGGAGGGATGATATTTTTGTACAAGATATGATTATGTTTGCCAGTTTATTGCATGCTTCTAAATGTTGGCTGTGTATGCCAGTCATTCCGGCATAATGCTTCATGGTGTGCCTGTCAATGGATCTTTTCAATTTACTATTATATCCCCTAAGCAAACTTTTTGGCCTCCAGTACAATTGACCCTCCATGAGCCTGCCCCCGTTTATTTTCAAATTAAGGAGGGGAAAGAATCATGGGGCATATATCCAAACTGTCAATATACATTGAATTTCACTTTTAATAGCTCTTGTTCTCTTACAGGAACATACAGTGACCAATCTCAGTGCTATAGGAGTGACACCAGTGCATGGCTAATAAACTAGAAAGGAAGCCTACCATGCAGCTTGGAATCAGAATTCTTATATTCTTGGCTTCCGGATGGAAGTTGGCTTCGACATTTATTGATTTTAGTGATCATTATAGTAGTTATTTGCATTATTTTGTGTTGCTGTATCCAATGTATTCCTTCTTTAATTTCTATATGTACTGCATGGTTCTCCAGTCCGCGGCCCGCTTCCGGTGTCACAAGAGTCGCTTATCGCGCTCGATATAACCGTATTGACTCTGATATAAAATAAAGAAAGAGGGCATGTGGGAGTCATAAAGCCACGGTCAAGGCTTGTAATATTGCAGGGTGCCCCTGACCTCGGCTGACCAGCACTCTGAGCTTTACAATGTATTGGAATGTATTGGAGTTGTGTTTCCTCTGGGCAGTGATGACCCTATATGGTGATGGGGGCAATAAAAGCCTTGACCGGATGAGGTAACGTGAGACATTGGCAAACGGCCATGCGGCTGGAGAGAGACAAAGGATAATAAAGAAGCTGCAGGAGGAGAGGGAAGTTCGAAAGGAGCTGCTCCTACCATCATGAAAATATTGCTGGCTCTCTGTGTCTTTATTTTATGCTAAACTGCACCATTTGTAACGGCTGGCTCCGACAATAAAGGCGTCTGGTGCTCCTAATAGCATGTAGGCAAGCAAGGATTGTTTTGCTTGTAAATAAGGTTTTCTATTATCTTTCTGAAGGATGAAAGTTCTGCTGGAAGGTGAGCCAAAAATGATGGAACATGCTAATACCTACGAGCAACCTGTAAAAAGAGCAGAGCAAGTTACGTTTTTGCTTCAACAGAATGGAGCATGTCACAATTCTGAACATTCAGAGGGGAGAGAAAAATCTGGTAAGCAAGTTAATTCTGATGCATGAAAAGTATTAAGGTCCCAGGCCACAGGGAGGTTAGGCTGGCCTCGACCAGAGCCAGGGCTTTTTCGGCTGCGGCTCCAATCTGGTGGAACGCTCTGTCACAAGAGACTAGGGCCCTGCGGGACTTGACATCTTTCCGTAGGGCCTGCAAGACAGAGCTGTTCCACCAGGCCTTTGGTCAGGGCGCAGCCTGACTCCCTCCTTTGGCAATCTTCACAGAACTTTAGCTCAATGGTTGCCATCAATTTGATTTTAATTAATTTTTATAATGAAATGTTTTTAGAATGTTGCACTATTTTATTGTTGTTAGCCGCCCTGAGCCCGGCTTCGGCTGGGGAGGGCGGGATATAAATTAAATTTTTTATTATTATTTATTATTAAGACGTAGACTGGAGACAGATTGTAGTTGGTTCTGGGTTTTTTTTAAGAGCGAGCTCTTAAAAATCTCTTTTTAGAGAATGCAAAGTCATTCCATTTTGTAAGCCCAGCCTATGTAGCCAAGGGTGGTGATGGGCCATATTCACAATAGTGTGGCTGAAAATGAAAGTGGACCATTTTCAAAAGAAACAAATAACTTTCACAGAGACTTTGTTACCAACTGAAGTGAAGGGGGTCAAATATCCAGTGAGCTTGCCAGACAGCATTAATGAAAAATCACCTGTAGCCGTTGTGATGATTTAATTGCCCAGAAGTCTGAAAAGTGTTTCGAGAATAATGAATGACTACAGCCAAGACAGCGTGAATGATACACAGCTGTGGAACCATGATTTGTGATATTTGGTGCAAAATCCAACTTTATCAGAATCCCACATTTCATTCTTTTTTTTTCTTTTAAAAAAATAAAGTTTCTAGTCCATATAATTCCGTGCCACAATGCCTGCTCGGTCTTGGAAGCAAAGGAATGGCTAAGAAGGTTTTATTTAACAGCCAGGGTGGTTGCGGTGGTGAATCTTCATGTATCTGCAAAGCTTTTTAATGCTAATATGTTGAGCTTGCATAATCTATACAGATTTCAGAATTGCATATAACTTTGATCACTTTGGTGCAAAAACTTGGGAGGGTTGTGTGGTTTCAGTTTGTTTTAGTGCAGAATACTCCCAAAACTGTCCAAAAGATTATTGATTACGAAGCAGACATCTAATATATGCATTGTGCGCTCTCTCTCTCTCTCTCTCTCTCATAGTGGATGAAAATAAACCAAAGATGGCAAAGGAGGAGAAAACGTATAAAGCTCGGACTCTGTATATTTTCTTAGCTGTCTCCGTTTCCTTATTTATTATCTGTATCGGCCTTGCAGTTGCCGTTGGTGAGTTCTGTTCCTTTATCCATTACCTTTGACTGCCACCTTGTGGTCATTGTTTGCTTCTGTGCTTTAACAGGCAGAACAGTGGGACCTTGGCAAACACGCATTTGTATGCCTTTTTGCCAAGGTAACACAAATGTGGAGGAAACAGGTGGCATTCTCAGGGAGATGGGGCTCCTCTTCCACGTAACCAATTTCCCCCCTGAAAATGCTTGCCCGTGAATTAGTGTTTTGCAGCGTGCAGAGGACCGCAGCCTTAGCTTCCGTAAGACCAGCAGGAGACGGCTCTGGCAATGACTATAATGTATCACGGTTTTAGGACTACAATGCCCACTTGACTGATCAATGGAAAGCCTTTTTAATCAACTAAAAATGTGTCCTGTGTTTAATCAGGGCAGCAGCCCCCCATTTAATATGAAAGCTTCCAGAAACTGTGGGTGTCAGGCACCATCTTAGAAGAGGCCTTCTGTTTCGGAAGGCATTCCCCTTGCATTGCCTTATATTGTGTAGGGATGATTGCGGAGTGGGGAGTGGGGTCCGGAGGGAGCACACTCTCCACCTGCAGGCAGCCACAGTCTGCCTGCACGTGTGACCTTGGGGTGCAGAGCACACACCCCCCTCACAGACAAAGCCACGGCTGTCTGAACATCATTGCCTCTGTCTAACCTTTTGCGGTCTCAGTAGTCTGCGGTGCCCTGTCTGTAACCTTTGTCTCTGAGACCTTTTGTCTCCGTCATACACTGTGCAAGGGGAAAATGGCGCGGTGGAAACAGGTGCCAAAATAACTTTGTACCACCCCACGATCTCGGGACCAGAAGATGTGTAAAGGTCACAGCCCAAAATGTATCTGCCTGGTTTGCATATTTGTCTCAATAAAAGGAGGCTCCACAGAGCTGGCCAGCAGCTTGCATGCAGCCCACCTGTGCGCAGCTCACCTGCATTATCAACTCCCTGCCTCATGTCCTTCACTTCAATATTGTGTGGGTTTTCCAGGTCCCAGCTGAACTTCTGGGGGTGAGGGCCCTCCATTTCCAGAGCAGTAGCTGTGCAGTTAGTTTAGCTGCTCTTAAATTTCTTTCCTTCTTTTAGGTACCTTATGGATAGTCTTACAAAGGTGTCAAGGCCCTTCATGGGCCAACTCCTGCCTGCAAGGCTGGATTGGGCATGAAGCCTGGTGCTACTATTTTTCAACTGCTGAGGCAAACTGGAACTCCAGTCAGAGCAACTGCTCTTCTCAGGGTGGCTCCCTGACAGCAATCGATACTCCAAGTGAAATGGTGAGAGCATTCCAGCCCTGTGGACTTAGGCCAAGATTCTATTGTGGAGTGCTGGTTCTTGGTTACTTTGTTTATCACTGCTTTTTACTAGATATTGCGTGAATCATTTAGATATTTCTCTTTTGTGACTAAAAAGTGGTATAAAAAGTGGTATAAAAACATTTTAAGTGAACCATCCTGCTTTTGTAGCTTCAAACTGGACTACTGTACTGTAATATATTTTCTGTGAGGCTCCCGTGGATGAGAGTTTAGAAATACCTTTGGCTGTAAAAAACAGTCCACCGTGTAATGGCAAGTGGTATATGAGGCCATAGCATATTTTGCTTGGTTGTTTCTAATTCATGTCCTGCCTTTCCATCAGATGGTGCTCAGTGTTCCAGCCTCTCTGCATAAATGGCCCTCTGGCCCCAGTTACTTTGGCAGCCATCTTGCCAGATTTGTCCGAAGGGAAGATAAATTCTCCCAACAGTTTCCTTGGACGTGGGGCTCGCCATTAGCAGTTGCAGGGCCACAGCTTTTTTCTCCTCCTCCCACTGTCGCCTAAAGGTTTTTGTTTTTGTTGCCACGGCAACAGAAGCAACTGTAGGAGCATTCTGGCAGCCATTTTGTATCCCCCACAATGCCCTGGGCCCAGCATCATTTCAGGGTATGAGGGAGAGTGCATGGAATGGTGGCTACAAAAAAACCCCTAATGAATAATATTAAAATATAAATTAGCCTTGAAGACTAAAAAAAAAGACTGTTAGTTTTTGCAGTTAGCTTTTATATTACTGTTTTTCTCAACTGCTGTGGCAAATGTTTAAGCATGTTAGTATATTTGAAGAAAATCCTGCCAAGTGTGTTGAATTTCTGAGGTTCTTCTTTTTGAAAATGATGATGTTCTGAAAAGGGTCTGTCAAATACTGAGTTGCTGCTCTCACCCCCCCCAAAAAAAAAATATTGCAGGATTTTCTACTGAAGAAGGACCCAGCTGATTATTGGATTGGGCTACAGAGGAAGGAAGGACAGCCCTGGAAATGGGCAAATGGCTCAGATTTCAACCAATGGTAAGGTATCCATCTGATTCAGGTTTCAGATTATCTTGAGGCGGTTGCGTGATGAGAGATTTCCCCAAAATATTGCTTCATTAAATACACACCCAGAGAGAAAAGTTGTGTCTCTTTTTAAAAGAATTAGAAACGAAACCTCTGTCTCATGATCCGCTGTGCTGGAGGGGGCTTGGATGAGGCAGAGATGCGCCTTCTCCCATCCCTCCCATCCAGATCTCTGGCCTATGTTGGTGAGGGAGCCCTGCTGGCAAGCGGTGCCCCAATGTATTGCCCCCCCCCCGAAGCTTGGTCAGTGGTAACCGTGCTAGCAATAGGCAGCAGAATCCCTCAAAACAGACTTGTTTCAAGAGCGGGGGCACAGGATCCATTGGATTCTGAAACAGTTCTGCTGCTGTCACATGATGGAGGCAGTGGAGGAGGAACCCTCTCTGGCACCCGGGGCGGGGCAAATTGCCCGGTGATGCACGCATGACATCCATATGGAGTGCGCAAATGCGGCATCATGTATGGAGTGTGCACGCACGGCAGCCCGTACAGTCGCCTGTATGGATGGCGCGTGAGATGCACCCATACTGACTGTGCATGCCCTTGGTCGCGCTACAGCTGGGGGGAGGCAGGGGCCATCTTGTCACACACTCCCCCCCGAGTGGCACCCAGGGCGACCCGCCCCCTCCGCCCCCCCCCCCACTTCATACACCCCTGGATGGAGGCAGGCCAAATCTGTGCCTATTTGCTGCACCAGTTTGGGAGCTGCTCTGGCTGGTATGAAGGTAGAAGGTTAAAGGTAAAGGACCCCTGGACAGCTAAGTCCAGTCAAAGGTGACTATGGGGTTGCAATGCTCATCTTGCTTTCAGGCCAAGCGAGTCAGCATTTGTCCCCAGACAGCTTTCCGGGTCATGTGGCCAGCATGACTAAACCACTTCTGGCGCAATGGGACACCATGATGGAAACCAGAGTGCACAGAAATGCCATTTACCTTCCCGCCACAGTGGTACCAATTTCTCTACTTGCACTGGCATGCTTTTGAGCTGCTAGGTTGACAGAAGCTGGGACAGAACGGGAACTCACCCCATCACGGGGATTTGAAACGCCGACCTTCCGATTGGCAAGCCCAAGCCCAAGCCCCAGGCCTGTCAATGTAGGGGTGTTATGCTGCTCCATTAGGCCTCACTGCAGGACATTTAGTGCAGCAATGTTGTGGAACTCCCTTTCCATGGATATCTGATAGACATTGACTGTTTGGGGGGTTTGGTACCCATTGCAGACATTTTTATCCTCCTGCCTAGGAGGGTAATCCTGACTTGGTCACTGTTGATTTTGAAGCAGCATAATGTTGTTTTAACAGGTTTCTAACCAGTCCTTAATAAATTGCATATTGATACCTCGCTTGGATGCTATCTTTACTGTGTCCACATTTGTGGAATGCTCTCCCCAGGGAGGCTCTCTGGCACCATCATAACATATTTCTAGGCACCAGATGAAAACATTTCTCTTCAACCAAGCCTTTGGGAGATTCCTCGGCCTTTTAAATATGTTTGTGGGAGGGGGGGTTGTATTTGTTTTCGTTTTATTAGGTATTTTGTATTCTCATTTTGCATTTTTATGTTGTGTGTTATTTGGGTGAAGGGCAGTATACAAATTTAAATAATAATAATAATAATAATAATAATAATGTTGCAGGTTTGAATTTGGAGATGGCCACTGCGCTTTCTTAAATGCGCCAAACATCAGTTCTTCATTTTGTGAAAGCAAAAGACACTGGATATGCAGAAGCCCTCATCTCCAAGCTTGAAGAGAGCTCAGAGTCTTCCCAGCACAAAAGCACAAAACCCCAAAACCCCCAAACAAAAGCTTTACCAATTTCTTAACACGGTCCTAAAGAATAAGTGCCTTATTTTTGAAAGACTGGGTTGTATCATTAATTATATCCCTTTTTAAGCTCACAATTTGAAAAATTCCCAAAATGGAAAATGAGCGAGGTCCCAACTAAAGAAGAATGGCAAATTAAGCTGACAGAATATGCACAACTCACAGACTTAACATATAGAAGAAGTGAACAAGAAGAACATACATTTAGAGAAGATTGGAAAATGTTTATTGAATATATGGGGTGGAATTATGTATACTTAAGAAAGACGGGGGGAGGAGAACCAGGACTCATTGGAATGTGAATGATGATTGAACTTGAATTTAACCTGGCAGAGCCCTCTATGAGATATTTTACAAGCCTGGGGAAACTAAAGGGCAGACCGAAGATAAATCTTTGAAGAAGGAGGGGAACGGCGGCTGTCCCGAGATATGACTTGTGGAGTGTGTAAAACCCACACTGACGATGTTTGCTCTAACCTGCTTGTGAAGATTATCAGAGATCGCAAACAAAGGAATATATGACAACAATAAGAAGATGAAGAAAGTAATAAAGAGACTGTCTGGATAGAACTGGATAGAACTGTTTAATTAAAGCAGTAATAGAAGTGATGTTTGGATCCTCGTTCGGAGCTTGATGTATGGGTACCCCCAACAAAATTGAAAAATTTGGCTGTATAATTTGGAACTAATGTGAATTGAAATAATGTGATATGATTGGCCTGTTAATAAAAATTATGTTAAAAAAAAAAAAGGATATGTGCCAATGTTTATACGGGACTCGGCCAGAAGGGGAGCGTCCCGAAAATCATAAGGATACCAGAATAACCAGGAAGTAAGATTTCCTAAGTGACAAAATAAGCTAACACACTGAAGCTTGTATTTTAATATGAAATGGGGGTTTATTCGTTCAGGAAACTTCACAGTACTCTAGCAACGTCCAGAATTCTGAAGTGGTTTTTACCACAGAATCCCACTAGCATTCACTTCTAGTAGGCTTATAAACTTATACATTAAAAATAGGTTATTTCCTTGCATATCTCTTTTGGGGTCTGCAGATTTAGCCATTGCAGTGGTTGCGGCTGCCCTTCTTCCTGGGATCGATGTCTCTGCTTGCTTGTGCCTGTTCTCTCTCCTGCCACCACCTGGCTGCCCTGCTGACTTGGAGAAATGCGCAGAAATGGCCAGGATGAGCTGTGGAACTTGGGGACGTGTAGTTCTTAAGAGGCCAAATCTCCATCTCCAAAATAATAATAATAATAATAATAATAATAATAATAATAATAATAATTTTTTAATATCCCGCTCTCCCCAGCCAAGGCCGGGCTCAGGGCGGCTAACAACCAATAATAAAAACGAGTTGAATGAATACAACTTAAAAGCAAGATTAAAATACAACATTAAAACAATTAAAATGCAGCCTCATCACAGGAGGAGAAAGGAAAAAGAAAGAGGGGGAGGGAATCAAACTGGCTCCAAGCCAAAGGCCAGGCGGAACAAGTCTGTCTTACAAGCCCTGCGGAAAGAAATCAGATCCTGCAGGGCCCTGGTCTCACGAGGCAGAGCGTTCCACCAGGCCGGAGCCAGTGTTGAGAAGGCCCTGGCTCTGGTTGAGGCTAATCTGACTTCCTTAGGGCCTGGGACCTCTAGGGTGTTTCTATTTATGGACCTTAAGGTCCTCCATGGGGCATACTGGGAGAGGTGGTCCTGTAGATACAAGGCCGTGAAGGGCTTTAAAGGTCAAAAGCAGCACCTTAAATCTGACCCTGTACTCCACCGGGAGCCAGTGCAGCTGGAAAAGCACTGGGTGAATATGCTCCCATGGCAGAGACCCTGTGAGGAGCCTCACTGCAGCATTCTGCACCTGCTTGAGTTTCTGGGACAGCTTCAAGGGCAGCCCCGCATAGAGCGAATTACAGTAGTCAAGCCTGGAGGTGACCGTTGCATGGATCACTGTGGCCAGGTCAGGGCAGGAAAGGTAAGGGAACAACTGCTTGATGTGGCGAAGGAGGAAAAATGTCGCCTTGGCTGTTGCTGTAACCTGTACCTCCGTGGAAAGGGAGGCGTCAAGGATTACACCCAAACTCTTAACAGAAGGCAATGGCACTAATTGGGCCCCTGCAAGAGAAGGGAGTTGGTCCCTCATCTCCATACCATCCCGACGCAGCCAGAGGACCTCTGTCTTCGAAGGATTTAGTTTCAATCGGCTCCCACGAAACCATCCAGCCACAGCTTCCAAGCATCTGGTCAGTGTGTCCGGGGCCGAGTCGGTGTGGCCATCCATCAGCAGATAGAGCTGAGTGTCATCAGCATATTGGTGACAGCCCAGCCCAAAGCTCCGGATAATCTGGGCAAGGGGGTGCATAAAAATGTTAAGAAGCATTGGGGAGAGGATTGCGCCCTGCGGCACTCCACACACCAAGGAGTGGCGTGACGACATCTCCCTCCCTAGCGCCACCCTCTGTCCCCGACCAGAGATAAAGGAGCACAGCCAGTTACGGGCTATGCCCTGTATCCCCACGTTGGCGAGGCTATGCCCTGTATCCCCACGTTGGCGAGGCGGTGGTCCAGAAGATAATGATCTACCATGTCAAAAGCTGCTGACAAATCTAAAAGAATCAGCAGTCCTGACCCGCCTCGATCCAGTTGTCTACGGAGATCATCTGTTAGGGCAACCAGAGCCGTCTCGGTCCCGAAACCAGGACAGAACCCGGACTGAAATGGATCTAAAGCCAATGTTTCCTCCAGAAACCTACCAAGCTGTTCAGCAACCACTCTCAAGAAGCCCAAGACAGCGGCAATAAAATGCCATTTTGCCATATGGAGAGCCCTAGAGAATGGGCAGTGCCAGGGAAAGCCCTGGGAAAGCCAGGTTTTCTACTTTTAAAGTTAATGTGCTTTCTAGCCAGTTAAAGCTGAAAAGCCATTTCTTTTAACTTTTTAACCGGTCCATTTCTATTACTTCTATTTCATCACCGTCCTTTTTATCAGTTTGGCCTGCATGATTCAGCTGCATGCTTTCAGCTTCCAGAGGGGGATGCAGGGTGTTAGAAAGGGAAGAAGACCTTCCCCCTCACCTCAGTGTTCATTAATTATATCCCATGAAAAGTTTGCATCATCTTTATAGCCAAGTCTCTCTCCATGCAGGGGAATTCTAGGAGGTAGCTCCAAAGTGACACCTACCTGCTCACCCAACCCCCTCGATCTAGATGCACCAGGAGCTGATCTGACCATGGCACTACTTAGGGTCGGATCACCCACGTCCGTAAAGATGAACACCAGGTCTAAGGCATGTCCGTGGCTATGAGTTGGGCCAAACTTCTTCAGGGGCAGCGGAGAACTGAGTTGAAGGTTAGAAAAATTAGAAACTGAAACTGAAGCATCCCTGCCCAACAGTTTTCGACAAAGAAACAAGAACACTAGCAGAATTACAGTTTTCCCTCGTGTTATTGACAGGAATTCATACAGGACTTCACTCAAGAGAAATATCCTGTCTGGATTGGACTTAATGTTACACATCTGCGCAACACCTGGACCTGGGTGGAAGGCTCAGCCTTAGATCAAGCCCTGTAAGTGTTTTCCTACATTTCCTACATTTGTACAAATACAACCTTTCCTGTACAGTAATAGCTTTCTCTGAATTGCAGATGCCTCATTTCCATATTAGTGCCTTTGTCTTCTCTACATTGTTAGCTTGGAACTAGTATTTTTCCTTTCCAAGTTTTATGTACCTCCTATAATAAGTAACTTTATTATTTTCTCCTCTACAGATCTGTGTGTGTGTGTGTGTGAGAGAGAGAGAGAGAGAGAGCGCGCGCGCGCAACAAGTAATGCCTACTCTAACCAAATTCACAAGCCGCACTCCACACACCAAATTTCAATAGCTTCAAACTTGGTGTTTAGTGTGGAATTGCCATGCTTTATTTCCTCTCCTTTTATGGGACACCCGCAGTATTTCCCTTGCAGTTCTTCCACCTTTTCTCAGATCATAGCAAGATTAACTTTTTCCTAAAGAAAAGTAGCTCACGCTTCACAAGTTTCTTTAACACCACCCTACTATGGTAGGGGGAGGAATGTGGACAAGGACTGTGAGATATTGGGAACATGAGCCTATCGCAGCTCAGCACGTTGTCACACTACAAGCACAGTACAAGGTCCTCAAATTGCGGGCCAGGCCTCCCTCACGAGGTACATTCAGACAATCAGGCTTGAGCAAGTGAGACTTCTTCCAAGGGCACATTGTGATTTTGCTCTAAAATTACTATGGCCACTCTTCTGTCATCTTAGTCCCTCAGTTAGGAGATTAGATGTTTGTGGGGTTAAAATTTGCAAACTGGGAAGTTCAGGTTAGCTTTCACAGTTGATTACTGTTATCCATGGCTATAGCTAATCTGAACTTCCCAATTTGGAGATTATATGTCTTGGAGAAACAGGATTAAATAAATGATTGGAGGATAGACTGCAGGCAGTGATTAGTTGTGACCACTAATTCAGACTGCTGTGTTTTTAGATGCAATAATCCCTCAGAATATCAGATTTGGGGAGCAGGAGAAGGAAAATCCTCAGGAGCTTCTCAGAGACACTAGGCTAGCTGGACTAGATCAGGGGAACCTTTCTTGGTCCAGCGGGCCAGATTCTTCTCTTATCACCATGTGGTCCAACTTCCATAGGTGGACAGGACAATGTACTTGTCAACCATCTGACATAATGGCATCAGTTGATTGACACCTAGTAGAGTCTGTCAGGCAGCTCAAGTTCCAGACAAATGGCTGGTCCCTGTTGCTGGACAAGATATACCTTTGGTCTAATTCTGCACGGTGCTTCATGCATTGTGAAATTACTGACCAGTGGTTTTCTCTGTTTCCACAGGTTCCCACTGCCTCTTCCAGGAACTGGAGCTGGTTGTGGAGTTGTGAAATCCGGTCAAGTTCGCTCTGAAATGTGCACCACTGTATTATGATTGTTCACACAAATGAAGACTGAACCACACGGCTTGACTATTAGTGTCCAAGCCCAATTCAGAGTGCACAGGTTAGTTTCAGAAGTCCTAAAGAACATGGGACTCAAATATCTCACTATTTTCAGATCCATCCCTACATAAGAACCTCATTTTCACCAATAATAGGCAAGTGTTTCAGGCATTGTAGGAAGAAGAGATGGGAGCTTACCTGTAAATGGCTCACACAGGTGAATGGCCATCTGTTCAGAACAGGGGCTTCTATCTGCTCTCGTGGGGCTTTTCAAGGTTCCTGCTTCATCCTCAGTAGCATTGGCAGCTGTTACACGAGTTTCACCTTTCCATAAGCCTCCCTCCAAAGCTTGAAGCGCAGAGGGGCAGATGATATCAGAAAGCCGTTTTACAATAAATAGCAGTGTGAGGCAGCACAAAGCAAGTGTTATCCCACAATTTCAAATGCATCCCTGCCCCCATCTCTTTCCTTGTTGCCAGAAATCTTGTGAACCACCCGGATATCTTCAGATGAAGGGCAGTATATAAATTTAATACAATTAAATTAAATCCAGGCTTTTAGAGAAGTGGGTTTCTTGCATAAAAGTGCTCAATCCATGACAACTGCGCAACCAGAATCTTGCCAGTAGGTGACTGAATCTCACCCAAAAATAGTGACAGTCAGGAGGTGCCCTTAGACAACAATCACTGGATTTCTAACATCTGAGGCCCAAAATGAATTGGGTGGTGGGACACTGAAGTGGAGAAACTGCAGGAAAACTCACCTCCTGCTGCTCCCCCCCCCCAAAAAAAATACTGTTCTCCAGGCCATTCCCCCTTTCTGGATGCAAACCTCTGCTGCGAGTTAAATATGATGGGAGCAGCAAGGGTTAAGCCATCCCTTTTACCTGCTATACCTCTGTATTCCCTCCCAGCATCAAAGGCTGGGAGCCAAACTGAACCATTATTTAAAAATCTTTATTTAACCCATAGCTGTCAATTTACAAATTTGAAAATAAGGGACCAGCAGCCTTGAAAATAAGGGATCAGCAGCCAAAATAAGGGACCTGCAGCCTCACCTGTTCCAGGCACTCCAGTCTTCCTGTCCTCCTGCCGTCTGGTCAAACTCATGCTGGGTAGCCTTGAGAACACTGTCCAACCAACTTTGTAACCAGAGGTTCAACTGACTAGAATCTGAATCACATGCACCACAAGGCCTATGCAGCCTCAGCTTAAGATGGCTCCCGGCCTGGCTTTGCACTGCAAAGTTTGCAGCAGCACGTGCAACAAAATGGCGTCCAGCATTCAAAAAACTCCTCAGCTTGCATTAACTAGCCACACACAAGGCATGCAAGCTCCACCCCCCAGTCGTTCTTAGACTCCTTATTGGGTGAGCAACACAGCCAAGCAACACAGTTGGAGCCTCCCTCCTCCCTGGCCGGCAGGGAGGGAGGGAGAGGAGCTGCTTCCTTTGAAATTTAAGGGACATCATTTAAGGGACATCCATCAATAAGGGACAGCAGCAGGACATGGCACTGGAATAAGGGACTGTCCCTTCAAATAAGGGACACTTGACAGCTATGATTTAACCCTCCCAGCCTTGAAAACCTCCAGATGATGGGGTTGCAGATGCATGTCACACTGCACTCCCTCATCCCCAAATACCTACTTATTTATTTAATATAGTCTACCTTTCTTCCAAACTGGGATTCACGGCGGCTTTAAAAGCATCATTATAAAATGCAAAGTAATAAACCAATAGTTAAAAATACATTAAGACACACTCAGAACCAGCACTAAAGTGCAGTTTGCTCTGGCAGCAGCTAGGTGGTCAACATCATCTGCACTTCAGTTTTCAGTGGTCTGTCTGATTAATAAGGTCTTATCCTGCCAGAGGAAGGGAAACAAAGAGGAAGTCCTTCTAGCCCAAGCATGTACATTTTTTCCGGTGGTAAAATCGTAAAAATAGCTCAACAACTTCAATCCTAAAAAAAGGTCAACAACTTTGGTCAGCCCTTTGGTTCACTTCATCAAATTTAGCCCTCTTTGAAAAAAGTTTAGACACCTCTGGTCTAGCCTCTCACTTATGGGGGGAGCTTTTAATCACGTACCCCCAATTCCAACAATAACCAATAATATGAGGTGTAGACAGAGCACCAGAGAGATGATTTGAAGGATGAAAGAATAGACACTCACAAATGTTTCTTCCCCCCCCCCCCCTGAAAGAAAGGGAACTATCCCCCCAAAAAACCCCCCCACAGAGGTGAACTAGATGACCCTCACGGTCCTAACTCTATGTTTCTGTAATCTCTTCAACTTTTTTGGGGGGGTGGGGGTGGGGAGGGATTGTAACAGAAAAAAGCTGACTTAAGTAGGAAGCTGTAATGCCTGCAACGTTCAACAATGCAGTTTTGTTGTATTGTCTTAGAAAGGGTTTGACTATATTGGTTGCCATTAACAGCGCATGTACTTCACAAATCACCACTGCACCACTGCTCAGGGCAAATGCATACTCTTAAGGCTGCAATGAAACATTATGATAGTTATGTGTCTTTTGCCCAAACTTGAGTTTCCTCTCTCAACATCTTCTGCTATGTGTAATACGATGTCACCTAATGTTACAGTGCCCCACCTCCCTGCTTCCTTGGTTGACCCTTGCCTGGGCTGAAAAACACTTTGCATGCGACAACAAGCCTACCGTAATATTTTGCATTACTAGACGTCACCAGGAAGAGGGAGAGAATTAGGCACTGTGTTTCAGCTTTGGGCAGAGGCACCTCACACCCTGAGCTCTAGACCAGGGGTCAGCAAACTTTTTCAGCAGGGGGCCGGTCCACTGTCCCTCAGACCTTGGGGGGGGGGGCAGACTATTTTTGGGGTGTGTGTGTGAACGAATTCCTATGCCCTACAAATAACCCAGAGATGCATTTTAAATAAAAGCACACATTCTACTCATGTAAAAACACACTGATTCCCGGACCGTCCGCGGGCCAGATTGAGAAGGCGATTGGGCCAGATCCAGCCCCCGGGCCTTAGTTTGCCTACCCATGGTCTGCACAGCTAGCCATTATTTGGGTGGGCATATGCCCCTTCCAGCTGTCTGAAGGCCTGCTACCCTGAGGCCAACGCCTCACCTTGCTTCATGGGCAAGCCAGGCCTGAGAGTCAGACAACCTCTTTCTAAACTGAAAAGATACCAAGTGCTCTAGATTAAGATGATCCACCTTACCTGTACATTTACTGGGGGAGGGAACACAGATTCCCTTCGCTGTCTCCCCCTCCCCTCACTCTGAATATTATTTCTATTCCCCCCTCCCCGAGTTTTGACCAAGAACTGTGCACTACACATGCCATGTGGTTTTAAAATAAAGGGTTTTTGGGTTTGTTTGTTTGTTTGTTTTTTGGAAAACGAAGACGGACATCTAAGAACTTACCAAACATGATCAACGCAATCACGGCCGATCCCAGAATGACACAGGTTGCCCCTAATATCCCCAGCGAGATTTTGTACCGAGCGATTAGCCTAGAATTGCCTGCAAGAATTCAATGTGGAGTGAGGAGACTTAGCCACAGTTCTGACCCTTGGCAGCTAATTCCCGCCCCCGAATACATATTCAACACAGCACTAAGATTGCCATGTTTCATATTTTTGGCATGAGTATCCTGGAAACAACCGTATGTCCTGAATCAGAAACAATCATTATATTCAGGACAGAGAAGCTGTTGTTGTAAACATGCCTTATTGGCCCTCTGCAGGGGCTACCACGCACTAAAGTTTTGCAATGTCTGACTGGCACAGACGGAGGAGACCTCAGAACATACCAAAAAACCCTCTTATGCAGTTTGCAAGCAGCATATGAGCACAATACCACTCTCTCCACTTGTAATCTCCAGTAATTGGTATCCAGAAGTAGACCACAGCAGCTATTATTATTATTATTATTATTATTATTATATAAACAAATTTAAAGAATGCTTCACAGTATAAAGTCATCAAAGCAGTCCCCGTGATTAAAAATAAAGCCAAACACAAGACACAGGTTCTAAAAACAATAAAACTTGCAATGCAACACAATTTCATCAGATACAAAAGGAATCTTCCATAAAGGACTGGGTTAAAACCTTCCAAAACAAAGTCTTCAGTAGGTGACTGAACATTATCACACATAGCATATCTTTCTGATTTTGACTGGTATCTGATTCCAGAGAGCAGGAGCTGCAGCACTAAAGGCCAGGTTTCTAGTCCATGCTAAGCACACCTCTGGAGTGCATGAGACTTTCAGCAGTGCCCCATATGAGGAGCACAGTTGCTGGGCAGGGCAGGGAAGTGATACAACAGGCCAGAAGTTCCCTCAGCTATCTTGGTCCCTTCTAGGGCATTGCAATTTGTGTCACATCTAACTTCCTCTGGTGAGTGCTGGAAGGAACATTATTTTAGTTTGCAGTTGGACTGCAATGAATGTTGCATTTGTGCAGCTGATAGACAAGTAGCAATGCAAGAGGCTTCAGCCGGCTTTGTGGGCCCAGGGCTGTTTTAAGAAATCACACTGCCAGCATGCATTCATTTCTGCTGGCCCGGTTCAACCTGAACTTTTAGAAATAGTATTTTATCACAAAACAGTACCACAAGTATCTAGCACTCTGGCCTCAAGATTAATAAATGATGATGATGATGATGATGATGATGATAACAACAACAACAACAACAACTTGACCCTGTCAAAAATTGCACTGAAAGTGTGCAGAGCAGACAGTGCATTATATTCAGAAGTATATCAACTGCTCTAGACTAGCCTTGCTTTTGGCCAGATTCTCCTGCCTCAAAGACACGGCCAGCTCTAGACCTTATTATTTCTTAAAGCCACAACAGTCTCCACCGTGTCTCAATTCTCCAAAGGAACACAGACCCCAGGTGAATGCCTGGAACCCCATGGCCTCTTGCCACCACTCAGCAGAGAGCGCACGACTGTTGTAACATTGTTATATTTCTTAGGTACTCTTATTGCAAGGTACCTCAAAGTGGCTCACGTTTAAATAAATTACAAACACCAATGAAAACCTAAAAACACAACCATACAAATTTTAACAGTGAAAAGCACGATTAAAAAGACGCTACTGCTCGTTGCCACTGGCAGCCTTATCTTCCATGATTTTGTTTAATACCCTTTCAAAGCCATCCAAGTTTTGCAGGAGTGGATTCTATAATTTCAATATGCACTGTCCCTTTGTCTGTCCTGAATCTCCCAACATCCAGCTTTATTGGATGAACCCTAGTTCTTAGATTAGGAGAGAAGGAGAACTTTGTAAATTTTCTTTATGTTATGTGCCTGTATTCATGACCTTGCCTTCTTTTTCTACCGGACCTCCAGATCATTTTGTTTCCCCCTTTTGGTTCCCTTTCCAGATGTCCAATATCAAATAACAAGCAATGTCAGCCTCTCCCTAGCTGCCACTGATGCCACTGATGTTGTGAATTTTAACACAAATATAAATAATAAAAAAGATTAGCACAACACTGTCATGCAAAGTATGAAATAAAATGAACCTTATGCCCAACTGCTCCCTGCTCTCTGCATTTACTGCTAAGCAGCTTACAAAGTATCAAACTCACTTACACAGAGTGGTATTCAACTAGATGTTACTCTGAGTAGACCCACTGAAATTAATGCACATGACCAAGGCTATCCTCCTAAGCCCACTTTCACCTGGAAAGTAAACTCCATTGAATTCAGCAGAACTTACTCCTCAGTAGACACGGTTAGGTTTGCGGTGCATAAATTGCAACGAATCTACATTGAGTAAAAACTTAGTTGAATACAACCAACAAAATATGAACTAGCAGTGATACCCCAAAAAGTTGCTCAAACCTAATTCAGAGAGGGTTGTGTGCCCCAGAGAAGGGCACTGTTTAATAATAATATAAAAGTGCAAACGAAGATTTTTTTTCTATTAAAAAAACCCCATACCTTGCATCCTCTTAGCTTCTGCCCAGCGTGCAGAGTTTTTATTACTTGGCTGGGGCCTTAACGCCATGTAGCCGTCTTCATCTTCCATGGCCCCAAATGGTTAAATCTCAAGAGACCTATGAAAAAGAATGAGCTTGACTAGATGCTGGCTAGTTCTCTTGAATGTGGGGCTCAGGGTTGCAAAGGAAATGCAAGCACCCTTTCCGGCGTCTCAACTGTGAAACCACAGGTAAGGTCTTAAGAAGTGACCATAATAGATAATAATCTAACACAGTATATAGCAGACAAGGTCTAGCACTTTTCTTGGGTACCAGATCTCAAATGCATATGCAGGCTGCCAATATATAGCAGTATTCCAAAGCACGCTGGCCGCGACTGGCAGCAACGCTAGAAGCCACTGAGAGCCTCATCCTTCCTGAATTCATCTAGTCCTCTTTTTAAGCCATCCATGTTGGTGGCCATATATTTGTTTCTTGCTCTTCCACCCAGGAGCTCATGGTTGTCTATTTTCCTCCCCTCTCCTCCTGCCTTTTATATTTGCACATTGCAACAGCCTGCGAGGCAGGCTAGACTAAGCTAATGGATGTACATGGCACAGCAGCTCTTGCCAACAGATGCAGGGATGCAGGGAGCCTAATCCACATACAGTGTTCCAGGGGCAGAAAATCCTGTTGCAGTTTCCATCCAGCACCTCCTAACTAGAACCTGGCAATTAGAGAAAGCTACCTGTTGTTAGCAACTCTGAAAGGCTTGCTAAAGCGACCAACAAGCCTCCTGTTCTAGCGTTTTGCCACAGGACAGCTCAACCTGCACATCCTGCAGTATAATTTCTATCACTGAATGAACAAAACCAAAACGCAGGATCTCATATGCAGTACACAGGTAAAACCAGTGTTTTTTCCCCTTAAAAAAATATGTTTAGGGGTACTCTCACTTTCCTACTCATACTGAAATACTGCCCCTCAATTAGGCCAAACTTAGATTCACAAAATGTTTAGAGGTATGCGTACCCCCAGAAAAAAGCACTGGGTAAAACTGCAACTGACCTACACACACAATATAGAAGCTGCCATTTTTTTACCCTGCAAACATGGAGGAAAACCCTTTAATTCTGAGAAACATAGCTTGCCGGATTGATCAATAATTGCTATGGTGATGCAAATAGATCCAACAATGTTAGCAAAAGGGGGGAATTTGTGGATATTAACATGCTGAGCACATTAACACTACGCGGCCTCCACTTTTGCATAGCTTTAGTGAACAAAGGTCTTCTGAGCACTCCATCTGCAAAGGTCTGTAAATGCCACCTTGAAAGCAGCATCGTTTTTATCAGAGCAACTGAGGAAGGCAGAAGACAAAACATTTTGCAATGAGAATTTAAAATGTGTTTTGTGTGTCAATGTAATAAATGTACTGTTTTTAGTGATTAACTGCATCCATTAGGGAGGGGTGGTAGCTCTGGTGGGGGACACATTGTGCTGCTTCTGGGGTGGTTTGTCCACCTTTGGTCCGGATTTAGGTTTGCTGAGGCCCTAAGCTATTGAAGGTAGTGGGGTCTTTTATATGTCCAGCTGTCCTTTGTCAACAACAAATTCTCGCTGCTATATGGTAATTTATGGACCTAATAAGTCCCTACACAACACAAAACACTGTTGCTGTATGTTTTATTTTATTTGTTTTTTATCTTATATTTTGGAAATGCACATCCAGTTTTCCCCCTTTATTTTTTTGGGCTGCCCCCCGAGAGGGGCCCTAAGCTATAGCTTGTTTAGCTTACACGTAAATCCGGCACTGGTCCCCACCCTGCACTCAGCTCTCCCCCGGCGGTTCCGAGAAGCTGTCAGCAAGGCTTTGACTGGCCGGCTAAACCAGGTGAGGGGAACCTATGAGTCTCAAACTCTTGGTGTTTTAGGGACTTCCCGTGCATGCGAAGACAGGCTGCAGCAGACTGAGCAGACGAGACCAAGCGTGGGTCCCACAGTCACTGTATGTGCTACTACCACTTCCTCTAAAAATAATAAAAGAATAGCAAACCTTGAAGCAAGCTCCATGAAAGGAGCTTGAGGTTATCTTTTGGGAACTTACTTTATGGAAGCTTTTTCTCTCAAAAGGGTGGAAGTGGAAGGCAGCCTTCCAAAACCCTCTTGAGTAACCCTAACCTAGATCATTTAAACGTGTCAGGGGAATTCCATCTGCTTTCAGTGGGACTTACTTCTCAGCGGAAGTTCCTCTAAGCCTTAATTACTGTGAACCGCAGGCTGGGTTTTCCTTTATCCATTTTCAGGTAGGTAGCCGTGTTGGTCTGACACAGTAGATATATATATCTATATATATATTTTTATATATATATATATATATATATATAGATATATATAAATTGTCCAGTAGCACCTTAGCTAAATTTGTTCTTTGGTATGAGCTCATACCAAGAATTTTCCAGTAGCACCTTAGAGACAACTTAGTTTGTTCTTGGTATGAGCTCATACCAAAGAACAAATTTAGCTAAGGTGCTACTGGAAAATTCCTTTACCCATTTGTAAGATTGCTAGCAGCACTGGAGCACAAAGCTGAGCGTTTGGTTGCTTGCTGTGCGTAGCCGAGGTCCCTCTGCGCGATTGCAACGCGCACCCCCCAATTTTCAAACGGGGACGGGCTTTGCTTTCCTCCCTCTGGGGCTGCAAGGCGTCGACTAAGCGAGCGCATCCTCCTTGCAGCATTGTGCGGGGCAGTGTCTGCTGGCTTGCGGGCATGAGGACGAGGCATCTTGCAACACAAATGGGTTTTTTCCCGGGGGGCGGTGTCGCAGCCACCAGCCAGCCCCGCCTCGACAGTTTCCCGCGTCGGGGTGGAGGGAGGCTGCCTCCCCCCTCCTACGTCACGTCATCCGAGCTGGGACAGCCCCAGCTAATCTGCTGGCAGGGTGGGTGTGGCCGCGGGCAATTTAATCTCAGTGCACCTTCTTCTTCCTTGCTTCTTCCTCGGATCAGGACCAGAGGGGACTGTGCAGTCGCTGTTGCATCCCTGCTGCTTTTGCTCCCTGCCGCTGCTGCACGAGGCTTTTTGCCTTTGTCCCTAGAGAGGCTTTTGCCTTTGGCTCCGAAGACTCGGAGGCTCCACCAACCGCGCGCTCATGCTTCTCAGCTGCTGGGCTGCAAACTGGGTTTTTTGTTGTTGTTTTTTTGCTCAGCAGGCTTCTTGTACGGTTTGCCAGCAGCACGTTTTATTTCAACAGTAGGGTTAGACTCTTATGCACACACACCTTTTGCTTTTCCGTGGATTTTGTGAGAACGGAAGGCTGTGCTCGTGTTTATTTGCATTTACCGAGTGGGTGCTTTTGAGAGCGATTGGGTTCGTTTGCTTGTTGTTTGAGCTTGTGGCACCGATTGTGTGTGGCCTGATTGATTGATTTGGAGCAAATGATTCAGCAAAGGAAACACAGCCCAGAATAACTAAGGAGATAGTACAAGAATACTTGGCTAGTTTAGATGTATTCAAGTCTCCAGGGCCAGATGAACTGCATCCAAGAGTATTAAAAGAACTGGCAGATGTGATCTCAGAACCACTGGCAGTCATCTTTGAGAATTCCTGGAGAACAGGTGAAGTCCCGGCAGACTGGAGGAGGGCAAATGTTGTCCCTATTTTCAAAAAGGGGAAAAGAGAGGACCCAAATAATTACCGCCCAGTCAGTCTGACATCAATACCAGGGAAGATTCTGGAGCAGATCATTAAGCAAACAGTCTGTGAGCACCTAGAAAGGAATGCTGTGATCACCAATAGTCAGCATGGATTTCTGAAAAATAAGTCATGTCAGACTAACCTGATCTCGTTTTTGACAGAATTACAAGCCTGGTAGATGAAGGGAACGCAGTGGATGTAGCCTACCTTGATTTCAGCAAGGCATTTGACAAGGTGCCTCACGATATCCTTGTAAAGAAGCTGGTAAAATGTGGTCTTGACTATGCTACCACTCAGTGGATTTGTAACTGGCTGACTGACCGAACCCAAAGGGTGCTCATCAATGGTTCCTCTTCATCCTGGAGAAGAGTGACTAGTGGGGTGCCACAGGGTTCTGTCTTGGGCCCGGTCTTATTCAACATCTTTATCAACGACTTGGATGATGGACTCAAGGGCATCCTGATCAAATTTGCAGATGACACCAAACTGGGAGGGTGGCTAACACCCCAGAGGACAGGATCACACTTCAAAACGACCTTGACAGATTAGAGAACTGGGCCAAAACAAACAAGATGAATTTTAACAGGGAGAAATGTAAAGTATTGCACTTGGGCAAAAAGAATGAGAGGCACAAATACAAGATGGGTGACACCTGGCTTGAGAGCAGTACATGTGAAAAGGATCTAGGAGTCTTGGTTGACCACAAACTTGACATGAGCCAACAGTGTGACGCGGCAGCTAAAAAGCCAATGCAATTCTGGGCTGCATCAATAGGAGTATAGCATCTAGATCAAGGGAAGTAATAGTGCCACTGTATTCTGCTCTGGTCAGACCTCACCTGGAGTACTGTGTCCAGTTCTGGGCACCACAGTTCAAGAAGGACATTGACAAACTGGAACGTGTCCAGAGGAGGGCAACCAAAATGGTCAAAGGCCTGGAAACGATGCCTTATGAGGAACGGCTAAGAGAGCTGGGCATGTTTAGCCTGGAGAAGAGGAGGTTAAGGGGTGATATGATAGCCATGTTCAAATATATAAAAGGATGTCACATAGAGGAGGGAGAAAGGTTGTTTTCTGCTGCTCCAGAGAAGCGGACACGGAGCAATGGATCCAAACTACAAGAAAGAAGATTCCACCTAAACATTAGGAAGAACTTCCTGACAGTAAGAGCTGTTCGACAGTGGAATTTGCTGCCAAGGAGTGTGGTGGAGTCTCCTTCTTTGGAGGTCTTTAAGCAGAGGCTTGACAACCATATGTCAGGAGTGCTCTGATGGTGTTTCCTGCTTGGCAGGGGGTTGGACTCGATGGCCCTTGTGGTCTCTTCCAACTCTATGATTCTATGATTCTATGATTTGCTTTGGTCTGGGCTCTGTCCCTTGCCTCTAGGGGCTTTCTGCTTGCTTTGGGGTTGCTTTGGAAATCTACGGTAATCTCCTTCCTTTTGGCTTGGAAGTTTGCATCCTGACAGTTGCCCTATTTTGTTTTGGGTTTGCTTGCCCAGTTCGGTTTCTGATCTTTAAGGGGCGTCGCCTTCATCGCCATTTTGATTAAGGGCAGCGTGGTCGGGGCAGTCGGTCATTTTGGGAGAGGCACGTGGCCCTGTCCCTTGTTTTGAGTAAACGGCGGGAAGCAGCTCTTTCACCAACTCCCAACTTGCTTGCTGGGATTCCTCTGTGCTTTTAGGCGCGGTTTTTTCTGTTTTGCAAGCTTGCATCTCCCCCTTCCTCTTATTAATTCTCTAATATTCCTCTAATATTAATTCTGAGCTGCTTTGTTACACTTTTGTTTAGATTCATTCTGCGTTTTCACTCCTAATTTTCTGCCCAGTTTCCCTTGTCGCTCACTGTGCTGTGGAAGTCCTGGTTTATATCCCCTGCTCCATGTGCCTTTTTACTTTCTGCCCAACTGTAAAATAAAATTGATAAAAGTAATATAAACAAAATTGAAGTAGGTTAAAATAGAACTAGTAATAAGAAATAAGTAATAATAATAACTCTAGCTTTCATTTGAATACATTTTGTCCTATTTGGATATTTGGATTCTGCAGTTGGTTTGGTGATTCTTGCTGATCGCCTACCTGCTCATTCTGTGCTTATAGTTGCTGGTTAGTGTGGTCAGTGCTAAGCCCAAGGCTGCTGGCTTTTTAGTGTCAACAATACTGCCTCTGACTGCCTCCTGGTGTTGCAGCCAGTGTCTAAGCAGTACTAGACAGTCCTTTTGAAGTCCCATCTGTTAAGCTTGCTGTAGGTAATACTGAGCTTGCTTGATTGTGCACAGGTGCCGCTGCCTGCCAGTGTGGCCACTGTTGAGATTAGCTGATTACACTGCACTGTGCACAGATGGTGCTGGCTGCCGGCCTGCTTATGCAATATCGACCTTAGTTGACTTCTTCTGGCCCGGGTAGTGCTTGCTGCTGGCCAGTGTAGACAGTGCCGAGCCTGTTTTACAATGCTGCTCAGTGCCCTGCTTGCGTTGCTGCCGGCCTGTGTGTCCTGTCATCTGTTAGTTATTTCAGCTCCTTATTGAATTGTCCCTGGGCCAAGTCACCATGCCCGTAAACTCCAAGCAGAAGGTGGCCGTTTCCCCTCCACGCACCAGGCGTGGGACTGTTAGGCTTCCTCCTGCCCAAGCCCCCACTAGTCAAGGGTCTGGTTTGTTACCTCGCCAAGTTTCTCTGACTGCAGTGGGAAATAGTGTTGATGAGACTTCTGGAGTCATACCCCTACCCAGACTGACGTAGTGCCCGCATCAAGACCCAATCACGCCTTCATACGTTTCATCGAGGGGCTCGAAGGCTTGGTCCACAGTTTCAAAGCTCAGGCACTGAACCAATCACACGCCTTGTCCTCGACCCAGGGTCATGTGGTGGGATCTTCGTCGGCTTTTTCTGGCTTTTCACCTTACCAACCCCCTTCAACCCAGGCATCGCCTCCGGGTTTTTTGCCAACTTCTCCAGGCCACACCTATTCTCACCCGCCTCCAGTACAATTGACGCCAGAGCTTCCTAGCACGTCATCCGTTTTGTTTAACCAGTCCTCGACCACATCTGCTAGTGTATTTCAGGGTGCCCAAGTGGCCAGCCGTCCTGTGGCTGCAATAGCACAGCCTCAAGGTGCTGCTGCTGCAACAGTGCAGGGACCGAGTGGCTCAGGGGTTTCGGTTGCAGTAGCTGAAAAGCGGAAGAGGTGGCCTGGTCAGGATCAGAACGCTGGGCCTAAAGTCTCCGGCAAAGAAGTGCAAAAGGAAGCGTAGTGGTAAAGGAAAGAAGAAAAGGCGCAAGGATGACTCCGATGATGATGATGAGTCAGGCACGTCAAGTTCAGATGATAGCGATTCCTCGCTTGGTTGTTATTGGGGTGAAGGAGAGGATTTGGGGGCCCTCCCAGACTGGTGCTTGGAGCGGAGAGCCAACTTCCACCGCAAACAGTTTGGGGAAACTCTAGAGTGGAAGGACGGGGCTTTGGTGGAACAGGTAAACACTACAGATGATGTTCCTGGCTATCATTTGAGCACAAAATTGCGGGCAAAAATTCTGAGCAGGGAATATGTGGACATATTCAAATTAGTGCCGACATGGATTGCGATGCGTAGGGGAAAGTTGAAGTGCCGGAATGGGGCACCTCGGGCCGAGAGGTCCTTCGCCAATTGGCTTGAGGGTTTCTATGTTTTTATGGGAGTGGTATCCATGGCCTACCCTAAGCGGGCGTGGCATCTTGTCAACTACCTCAAAATTGTAAGGGAGGTGTATGCACTGGCAGGAGAAGATGCCGCAATTGCTTATGACACAGAATTTCGCCAGAACGCTTCCCACCTATCCAACACCAGGTGGGATCAGCTGGATCAGCCATTATGGTTTGAGATTGTGTATTCGGAAAATAACAACAAATCGCAGGAGGCTAGCAGGCATCCTAAGTTCGCCTCCAAGCATAATCCTCATCACAAAGTCTGCTGGGATTTCAATGATGGGACTTGCCAACGGGTGAACTGAAAATTTCCCCATAAATGCGAGAGGTGCCTTGGAACTCACCCCTGCATTTCTTGTAATTGGGGTTAAGCAGCACTTTTGGGGGCTGGGGTTTCATGCTCAGGGAGCCCCCAGCACAGCACCAAATTGGGGCATGCAAGGCATACATGAACAATAGTTGCTTCTCGCTTGCAAGCCTCCCCATTAAACTCAATTCACTCAAACGATTACTTGATGAATACTCAAATCCCGAGTCGACTTAATACATTTGGGACGGTTTCTTTTTCTTGTAAATAATTTTTATTAATTTTCAATTAAAGGCATTCCAATTAATAATAAAATTGAATCTTGCCACATTAAAACGCACACAATAAAACCAATATTACAATCTGAATTAAATAATTTCAAGGGAGCTTCCCATGTTCTGGATGCCAGGAACAATGTTCCTGCGTTCATTTCTTTTGTTCTTCCCCAGCTTCATAAATCCAATCTTAACCATTATTTTATGCAGTCCTGGTGTGGAACTCTCGTGTCCATTAAATCCATTTCTATTCTAACACAGGCAATTTCTTCTGTTGCTGTTGTTCCATATATATATATATATATATATATATATATAAAATATATATGATTTGCATAGTCCTCTCCGTGACCCCATCTTTGATTTTCCGCTTTATCTTCCAGGCTCCGGGCTCTGTTCCCACTTTTCTCAACAAGTGCCAACCCTCCTTCTTTTGATAAGATTTATGGCACAGCAGTCTTTAGGTCTTTCAGACTTCTAATAAGTTAGTATTCCAAATATAAATGAACTTCCATAGAAAAGCAATGCCGTGGGATATATTTCACTAATTGTTTGGTGATTGTTTAGC